CAGAGCAGCTCACATCATGATGGACTGGAAGGAGAGAGAGAGAGAGAGAGAGAGAGAGAGAGAGAGAGAGAGAGAGAGAGAGAGAAATGCCAGCACTGACATGCTTTCTCCTTTTCCCTCCTTTCATTCCACCTGGGCCGCCCACCTATGGAATAGTGCCACCCAAATGTAAGGTGGATCTTCCCTCTTAGTTATCCCTCTCTGGAATCACCTTCATAGATAAACCCAGAGGTATGCTTTACTAATCTCCTAAATGCTTCTCAATCCAGTCAACTTGACAATGAAGATTAACCAACACAATGATGCAAATTAGTTAATTTGAAACTCCGTAGAACAGGAATAAATATATTTTGAATCATAGAGAATTTATATTTTATACTATTCTGATTATAGGACAAGAAAAAGCTAATTACTTGAAATTAGGACTGTTTTTATTAAACTAATATTTGAGTAATGAACTTTAAAATATCTTTGTTAAATTAATTCCCAATTTCACAAAGTTCTTTTATGTTTTTTATTAAAAGAAATGATGACCTTTTTTGTTGTACTGCAAGTAAGGAGTTTTTAAAGGTTTTAATAATTGCATTACTGCAAAGCATCTAGTTTTAGAAATGTTTCTTAATTATTCCATATTCGTGAATAATGCATACTACATTGGAATTATTTTTAGTCAAATCAAGTGCCTGTAGAAAGAAAAGGAATAAAATTCTAGATGGCACTTTGCCATCCTTATTCTTTGATGGACATTGGCAACTGGGAAAAGGCTTCATTCACTTGGTTGCACATTGAAATAAGTGGCCAATCATTATTAATTCATTTTGCACTCATGGTAATTCCATAAATCATCATAAATTCATTTGTTAAAGTGCATATAATGTGTTCTCCCCTAGGAATTTCCTTGTAATTGAGCTATTAATTAAAGTATTTTTTTAATTTGACCTTTTTTCCCTTCTCTACTCTTCACAGCTAAGAAAAGTTAGTGGCCATCTCTTCCTTCATGATTTTAAGTGTGAGGAATAATGTGGTTGTAACCAGTCCTGTTGACTGGTGTAGAAGTGACCCAAGTCCAAAGAAATGCTTGTGTCTGTTTCCTGCCAGCAGCAGCAGTGATAGTTATGAGTGGTCTCCAAGGATTCTTCAAAAAATTCTCTATAATCTGGTTTATAATCCAGTGAGAGAATTTCATTCTGCCTTGTTAAACATGGTTTGACTCTGGCTTCTGTTTTAATTTCTAATTGTTAAAACTTCTCTGTCTGGCTGATGGTTTTCCATCAGCATTGGTTGCTGTGATATCCAGGTTTTCTTGTGCCTGACAAGGAGTTGCTCCATAGCACAGGCTTTCATCCCCTCCACATTTCCCTCCTTCAGCCTCTTCAGTTATCCAGTGCCTGCCTCTTCCTTCTACCCAGGGACTGGTTGCTAGAGGGCTTACAATTGGGTGCTAGAACTGGTTCTAGAAACTGCCTCTTGTAACCACAGGATTCCTCTGAGGGCTTCAGGCTTTCAGGAAAGCATGGGTAAGAAAACTTATGCAATAATTAATAATAATAAGGAATTAAAAATTACAAATGCAGGGCTGGAAAGGTGTCACAGATTTTACAACTTTTAAAATAGTCTTTTCTAGCTTAGTGCCATTTTGCACATATAGAAACTAGGTATTTAAAAAAGTACCACAATAATTCAGGTTCGTGTCTGAGAAGTTGGTTGTGGGAAGATAAAAATAAGAGGTAACTATGATGTTCTGTATGTGTGTGTTACCGGCAGTTGACTCTCTCTCTCTCTCTCTGTGTATGTGTGTGGGTGTTGTATCATAAGTGAACAAAGAAGTCTGCTGTTCAGTGTGTGTGTGTTGTTGTGTGTCTAATCTATGGAGAACTGAAGGTACTACATCAGGTTCAGTCTCTGCTCTTGTGCTAGACATGCAAGAGGGGGAAAAAGTGAAATAGTAATGTACAGCTGTTATTATCAAATGAATGATGCTGAAAATGACATGTGATGCTTGTGGAAATATATAACTGTAGTTCTTTAGTTAATAAAGTATTTTCATATAATATTCAATAAATGTAACATGCATTAATAAATTGAGTCTGTGGTTTGTGATAAGGATAAGTAAATGCTCCAGAATACAAATTTAATAAGTAATTCTAAGTAATAACATTAGAGTACAAATGCCTGTGTGTGTGTGTATGTGTTATGGCTTGTTAATCTTCTGAAAGGGCTAGCCATCATAACTAGCCAGATATTACAGAAATTTTACGCATTTAAAACTTTGGCATTTTTTATTGGTCAGCTCATGATTGAACAGTATTCCTTTTTCCAGAACGACTAGTTAACCATAGTATAATATTGTCATCTTTTTAACTACAGCTTATGTAGGCTTTATTTTGCTTTGTTTGTCTCAATCTTTTTTCATTTTTAGCATTTTGCTGCTGCAGCAAAGTATAAATATTTTCTTACAGCTTTACTCTTCTGTAGCACTTTCAAGAAAACAGTAAGATTAAAGTTGGTACCCTTTCAAAAAAAAATGAAAAACTTGAGATAAAATAGCACTAAAATATGAGCTATTGATATTACGCTTGACTGCATGGTGACAGAATTAGTTTCTCAACAGCCAGAGGGTCTAAATTAATTGTAATTTATCCAGTGGTAGGTTTTAGTATTTTCTGCCACTTAAAGGATTTTATTTTGTTTTTACTTTTTTCCTTGTGTTCTGAGTCTGTCTGCATTTAGTAGTCCATTTCTTCATTTGGCTAGACAGAGGTAGTGACAAGCTACACACCAAGTTCTCACTATAAAGCTGCCACAGTGTCTGTATTATTCACCTATCTTGCAGGTAGGAAAGACAAAGAATTTGATAGCTTAACCTTGAATATGGCCCCAAATTGCTGGATTTCATCAGATAGTAAGTTGAGTTAGAAGTCCCTTGGTATCTGCAGTCTAGAGTCAGTGACCAGTAGTAGAACTTACTAGTTGTGATTCTTAAGAGTGAGAAGATGCCTTTTTTTAGTTCCCTAGAACAGTACAGTAATTACAAATGGCAGTCATTTGCAATCTTTAGATATTATGAGACAGTAAAATTTCTAAAAATAAAAATTTGAGGGCGTTTAGTAGTATTTCAGACCTTTTTATGTTGCTAAATATATACATTAGAAACTACCCTTGTTTTGTTTAAAAACCTGTTTATTTGCTGAAAGGGTAAGAAGAATATAACCTCACCAAAAATGTAGTGAGACTATAACCTCAGAATAAACACGCCTTTAAAATGAATAAATTTACTTGAGCCACTCCTCCTACCCCCATACAACCATTTTTAAAGACTGGTTCTTTAGTATCATCAGAAAGAATACCTGACAAAGAAGTTTGAAGTCTTAGGCATCCTAGATATCCTAGATTATTCCTTCAGAACATCATTCCCATTAGTTCTAGTAGCAATAAAGTTCTCAGCATTATATTAATTAATCAACATGGCTAGAAATCAAAAGGTTTAACTAAAAAAAAAAACCTTTGTAACTTCTGTTATTCACATACTTTGTTTGGAATGAGTTGTCAGAGATGAATGTGGAATTTTAACATTTGTATGTCTTCATAATTGCAAAATAGCTTAATAGAAAGAAAACATACTTTTGTCAATAAATTTAAAAGCCCTGAGTAAAATTGACCATTTTTCTCTGTTCTCCTTTGATGCCCTCCACATGGCCTGTTAGAGCTATAAAAAGTGCCTGGACAGAATGGTGGGGATCTTTGCTTTATGTTATCCTGAGATTATAATTTGAACTAAAGGAGAATTTTACTTAGGACATCACTCATTGAAATAGAAGATGATTTAAGGGAATGGTGGCTCTGGAGACCCTTTGTTTCCTACCAGGCACCATCTTCACTGTCAGACATAGGTCATGTTGTGTATGGGAGCAGAAGGCTCTCTGGTGGGCCACTGCAGGGCCAGGGGTCTTCTGGAGGACAGTCCCTTTTCTGTCATTTTATCAGGGCACACGATCACATCTTTATACCACCGCTCCCACCACATCAGAGCAAGATAGAAAAATACCAAGAAGTCGGCACTGACTGTTTGTTTTTGCTCTCAGGAAGCTGCTTCTAGAGCTCCTGCCACAGAGACCCCTTAGAAACCAGTGAGTCTGGAGTGTTGGCCAGAACACGCCTACCTGTAATGAATACTGAAATGGTAGAGTGCAGTGAAGGAAAATGATGATTGAAATGCTATAAAACATTGTACTTAGGAAACTTTACTTCCCTTCTGCCATATTACTTACTAAGAATCCACCTCCAGGGAGCCCTAGTACATAGATTGGAAGTCATTGCTGCTGCTGCTTCAGGAGGTCTGCTGAGAGCAGCAAGGGTGATTTCTCTGCAGCTCTTACAACTACCTGGGAAATAGGGAAGTGGTCCATTTCCTGACACTTGTAATATCACTCTGACAGACTGGGGTAGGTAGCTTCATTGGAAATGGACATGCATATATGTGTCCACAGCATATGCAAAGCACTGGTCTTAGTGATTTGGATGAACTGTGATTCATGAAACACAGCTCCTGCCCTTAAGGAGCTGATACTCATTCTGAGGAAAAGGGAAATGTACAATAATGCTCATATTTAAAGATATCATGCAATAAGGAACAACACATAAGAGCAGCCAGAAAATAGAGCACATGGTATATTTTTTGAAAAAAATAATCTCCCTTTTGTAGAATGCTAAGTAGGAAGAAACATTGTTTGGATTGAGAATCACTCATAACATTTTGAAGTTACATATAAATTTTCATGTAATTATTATACAATTAAATTCATCAGAATATATTGTAAAATACTGTAGTCTTAACTATTCTTTTGAAAGTATACAGCTGAGCAAACTGTAAGTTTAATGCCTTTCATAGTTATATTATTCAAAACCCCTTTCAGTAAAAAAATGGTTTACATTTTGAAAGTGCAGAAAGAAGACATCACAAAAGTATAATTACTGCTCTTCCTCTTGTTTTGTAATTTTAGGCAAGGCACTGACATTTCTTCTGCTACAGCCTCCAAGCCCCAAACTTCCTCCACACAGCACTATCCGGAGAACAGCCATCGACCTGATTGGGCGAGGATTCACAGTGTGGGAGCCTTACATGGACGTGTCAGCTGTTCTCATGGGGCTTCTAGAACTTTGCGCAGATGCCGAGAAACAACTTGCCAAGTATGTGCTAAATTCCAGTGAATTTAATTTGATAACTGCTTTTGTTTCTTGGTGGGGGGCACTTGTGAGATAGGTCATCTGTTGTCCTTTATAAGTTGTGAGTGTGTGTGTAATAGATAAAAAAATAGATATCATTTCAATATTTTAAATCTTGGATATAGTTAATGAAAAAGAGGCATGTTTCTATAATTTGAGCACAATTGAGCATTAGCCCTGAATCAGTGAATGATTGTGACATAGTTTTCAAACTGTGTTTATTGTGCCTTACATGCTGATCATAATAGAAACTTATTATTTATGAGGAAAATTATATACATATTGATACTTGATACTAATAGAAGACATGACTAGATGGTTTGAAGAATTATTCCTCTATACTTATATTAATTTTTAAAACTTTATTGAAGTTTCATTTGTATATAGTGAAAGACCAGCCATAAGAAAGGCACAATGATCAATGGAAACTCTGATGACAGGTTATGGAAGAGAAAAATCAGTGGTAGAAGCTGATGTGGTGCACACGTGGTGAACAAGTGACTGGAGGGATGAGGACACAGGGCACTGGTGGTGACAAAGGAAGTGGTCAGTCAATACTAACCACTGTACCTTCTGATTTCTGGGAGAATTCCTTTCTCCTCCTTTTCTTTCTTTCTTTCTTTTTTTTTCCGGTATGTGGTTTGTACATATAACACGAAGTTGCCATTGTAACCATTAGGTGTATATTCACAGTGTTGTACAGTCCTCACTAGTTTCTAGATACCAATAGTGATCACACACTTATCTACCCTGTTAAGCGGTCATTCCTTATTCCTCTTCCTAGCGACCAATAATCTGCTTTTAGTCTGTGAATTTGCCTATTCTGGATATTTCACATAAATAAAATCATGCAACCTGTGGTCTTTTGTGACTAACTTCTTTCACTCGCATAATGTTTACAAAGTCCATGTAGCATGTGTCATTCTTCATTTCTTTTTATGGCTGAGAAACATTCCATCTTTGGTATACCACATATTGTTTATCTGTTGATGGATATTTGGTTTATTTCCACATTTTGGCTCTTGTGAATAGAGCTGTATGAACATTGATGGATAAGTTTTATTTGAACATATATTTTCATTTATGAGAGATGTTTTTTGGGGTCTTACAGTAATTTCTTGTTTAACTTTTCAAGGAGCCACCAAACTTTTTCACTGTGGCTGCAACATTTCCATTCCTACCAGCAGTGTTTCACTTTCTCCTCAGCCTCATCAGCACTTGCCTTTTTTTTTTTTAAGTGTAGTCCTCCTAGTGGGTATCCAGTGGAAGCAATTCTTGAACTGTCCCATGACACCTCCCTTTATGAAAATGTTACATCTCTTTGATTTTCTCAATGAATGACATTTCGTTCTTGCCATTATTAACCATTTATAAAACTGAAGTTCTCTGCTCTTCTCTTCATGGTTGTCTTTCCTGTACTCCACAGTTCCCTCACATCCCAGCACACTTTGGGCCTGTAGTAATTCTACTGGTTGCTCTATACTCACTAAATGTGGACTAGAGAAACAACTGAAAGCTAGAATGGAATTCTATAGCTTTGTCTATAGATCGATTATTCCCTGCCCAATATCCCAAAATTGGCTGGTATTAGAAGGATATTTGTTTCAATCCTAGGCAACTTCCTTCTGCATTTACCTCCTAGCATACCACCTGCCATGTTTCTTAGTATGTACTTCTGTGTCTCCCTAGCTGTGTGGGTGGGACTAATTAAAGTACATGTTTCATCAGTGCAAGTCAACTCCCTAGCTATCCTTATCTCAACTAGCAAAAACCCTTGGTCCTTCCTATTACTGCTTATACTCTCTCTTCAACAAAATTAGAGATAAGGGCAGAATAGTTTCTGCCTGGTAGTGAGGGTGGGGGGGTAAGGGAGGGGGTGGAAGAAGGCGGGGAGAAATGACCCAAAGATTGTATGCACATATCAATAAAAGAAAAAAAAGATTAGAAATATTAAAAAAATAAAGTACATGTTCCATAAGGTTGATGTAAATGAGTTTATGTTTGCGAAGCTCTTAGAAGAGTAGTTAGTGATCTAAAGAGATTGGATGGATGTGAGTATGTGGTGGCACTGTAGCTGGCGATGCTAGTGCTATGGTCCCAGTGTTCAACAGATCAAGAGCTGGTGAACCCATTTCTAGAATGACCAACTTGGGACAGCAGTACCAGGATATGGATTTGGGAAACTGGATGGTTCTCGATTGACTTTAAGGTTTACCAGGGAATGTGAGCCCATTAGTTTGTGCCTATAGGACAAGGCAGCTGGCTTTTGTGCAGAGCTCCAGAACACATTTTCAACCTTGACCTCCTCCTGGCTGCAGCTACATGTGCACCCTCCAAGGAGACCACAGCGCTGGCTGCTGTTACCACAGCTCTCCTTGTTTATCTTGAGAAGCCTTTAACTTGTTTGATTGTCCAAACTTTGCTCTAACCTGATATTGTAGCTTATTTTCAAATCTAATGTAAACTGAATTTCAACAGTGTTTATTCTGCTTTGTTACCTAGGAGAAGTGATAGGTTTTTATTTTAGATTTAGTATTTGTAATTCTATTGTGTTTTAACTTAAATTAAGCTTATATCAGCAAAATAAAAATGAGCTTATGCTTTATCTATACATAGTATGTAGACAGAAATACTATAGTTTTCAGTAGGTAATTTAAATCTTGCTATTACATCCTTTCTGTCATGAAGATTAGTATTATTCTGGACACAGCTCTGAATAAATGAATGGATCAGCATGTAGCCTTGAGGAGTCCGATGTAATTTTCATCATGATAAATTGCATAATAAGCAAGAAAATGTTTGCTTATTAATCTATAACAAGATTTAGATTGAAAATGGCCTGTTACATCCATGGCACACGTGGTACAAGCTGTAGAGGACTGAGGTGGGGAGAAATGGAGCAGCCATGTGTACTGGGAGTTAAGTGTGCATCTTACCCTCTGGATGCCCTGCTGCGCTGCCCCTTTTTGCAGCTGATTTACTCTGTGCACAATAACTGTTCAGCTGCCTTGCTTCTGTCTGTGATGTTAAGCTTGCTATATGAAGAAGCTTTTATGTCAGGCTGGTGCTTTGTAAAATTTCAGTTCAAAAATTTATCAAAAAAAAAAACCTAGAAAAATGTTTCCTTCTTTATTCCCATTCTTATGAGCTTATGTGAGTTTGGGGAGGGGCAGACAGCTTAGTCCTAGTTCTGAAGAACATATATCACAGCAGAGTTCCTTCCTGACTCTCTTCCATGTACCCACATCCTGTCAGAGGCTCCCAGAAGACTACAGATGGCTCAAGGTTAATAGGGTAGTTTTCCAGAATTGGTAACACCTTTATTGTGAAAATATGACTTATATGAAAGGGACTGTGTTAGGTATTCATAGTTTCAAATTAGAATAAATGATTCTGTCTCCAAGTTACTCATTGTCTTTTTGTCTTTGTTTTTTCAATTTCTTTTTTTTTTTGAGACAGAATCTCACTGTGTAGTTCAGGCTGGGCTTGAACTTGTTATAAGCTCTAGCTGGCCTTGAATTTGTGATCCTCCTGCCTCCACCTCCTGAGTGCTGGAAGTACCACCATGCCTGGCAAGATACTCACAGTCTTCCACACCCAAAGATAACCATGATACAAAGTGAGAGGGGGAAGTAAAAGGGACAGGCATTCAGGGGTTGGTATGATGAATCATACCGGGGCAACCAGAGGTATGCAAGGAAGAGTCCACTTGAAATTCTCACTCAAATGATTATGAGTAGAGGAGGGGAAGAACAAGGACAGGCAGCAGAACAGAGGCAGGAAAGCACAGGCATGCCAAAATTGAGGCAAGTAGAACCTTAAGTAGATGGTGAGTGAATGGACCATACTGCTTTTGACTCATTTATTCACTAATCCCTTGGAGAAGTAAGAGTGGGATGTTCCCATGTAAAACAAACATTTTATCTCTGGGGACAGAATTAGGATCAGAGAAGAGACTGGTTGATCTGTAACGTTAGAAACAAATTGTTACAGGGAATTAGACCTACCACATACCTAGCAGTGTGAGGGGTCTGGAGATTCAGGGTTCAGTTGTCCTATTAAATATTGCCCTTGAATTTCTGTGCTGCGCATGTCACAGATATGCTCAGTTAGTTACTCAGAAGCTCACAGCACTAGACATAGTTGCCCCCATTTTGCAGCTGTAAAGAAATGAATCTGGGAGAGGTACTGTCTCTTATCCATAGGAATATTGTAGTCAGTGTAATCTCCTAACACTGCTATCCAGCATTCAAAACCTTAACATGTAGAGAATTACAATGACTTATTAAAAGGACATAAAAGTGGTCATCTTGGAATTTTCAGGGCAGTTTCAGAGTTTTTTAATATATTGAATAAAGCTTTTCATCAAGAGTTTGTACCTTCTAGAAACTAAATGCCTTATTTAAATATCAGTAAACCCCTTGAGTGCTTGGACCTGGAGTTTCTCTGTTCTTACTTATTCATAACACATGGCAAGTGATTTGCATGCAATAAACTTGTTTTTTGTTTGTTTGTTTTTTCAGTACTGGGGTTTGAACTCAGGGGCTCATGCTTGCTAGGCAGGTACTCTACCACTTGAGCCACTCTGCCAGCCCTTTTTTGTGTAGGGTATTTTCAAGATAGGGTCTTGCCAACTATATTGCCCGGGCTGACTTCAAAGCATGATCCTCTTGATCTCTGCCTCCCGAGTAGCTGAGATTACAGGTGTGAGCCACCGGTGCCTGGCTACAACAAGCTTTTTATAAAGTCATGGAATTTTAGAGATGCAAATCTTTAACAGTATCTGATCCAATGCCCTCAATATGCTACTAAGTAAAAAGAAAGTTTAGAGAGGATAAACAACTTGTCTGAGGTCACACTTGGACCCTAAGAACTCAGGACTCTCATTTGGCAGCTCTTGTACTGTGTGCCTGTTCCACTTAATATGGCAAATGACCCACAAGTAAAATCTTATATAAGGAATATTTTCAAATAAACGAGGTTAGACTGCTTATTCATGGAGGACTGTTTAAAATAAAATGGAGGCTGCACTTCACTGAAATCAGGAATTGAACCATCCCTGCTAATTGTGATGGTATAGTATTATCTTTTTTATCAATCCTTATTGATATGTGTGGCTATATACATACTGATAAAATGGTAGAAATGGTAGAAAATCCTACTTTATAAATAAGCAGAAAAATCCTTGTGCCATTTGCAGCTGGACTTACAGCTGGGTTTGTTGTGATCCGTGATTTGGATTCCATTTGCCTAGTTCACAGTGCAGGGCTCTTATTGTGAAAGAGAGCAGTGGAGCAGTGCTGTCCAGCTGCTGAGGGACCAGTCACAGCTGAAAGATATTAGTAAATTAAAGAAAGCCTGTTGCTTATAGGGGTTCACCACAGCTTACCAAACATTAAAGGAGAAACAGTTGCTGTAAACCACACATGCTTTGATATCATACAGACATGTGCCATACATTAGAAAGATTCTTTTTGAACTATATAGAATTAGAGAAAAGAATATAACATTTTAACTCATCTCAACCCTCTCTTTAAAATTTAAGGAGTGGGAAGTAGAGAAAGGAGCATGACATACAAATGTTAACCTGTTTTAGGAGTGTGTGTGTGTGTGTGTGTGTGTGTGTGTGTGTGTGTAGACTTTTCCTGTCCCAGGAAATTTATTAATAATAGAAAATTTGTAATTTGAAGAATCTGTGTAATTAGCACTAATCACACCTTGGATAAACCTCATTGGCTACAATACTGCCACTGTGCAAAACTGAGAAATCTGTTTAAATAAACATGTCAACAAGTTTTTATTCATTGTAAACATATACAGCATATAGAAATAGGTCTAAAAGTGTACATTGGGAGGAGGAGGAGTTTCTACTTTTGAGCTTAGGAAAAGAAGCTTGCCTATGAGTTATACAATTAAAGTCCAACTTGAGAGAGAGGAATTGCAAGCTCCTAATTAAATTAAGGACTAATAGTAATGTACTGTTTTTACTAGGAAAGGGGTAGAATGGAAATCCCTGATGCTATATAATTATGTATTTTCAAGATAATTTCAATCTTCTTTGTTTTTGAGAGGGACTATTTTCAGTGCCCTGTTACTGTTGACCAAGACTTGCAGGCTATTTGAGGAAAGTTTGTTTTCCCCATAAATATATCCCTATATAGCATTCCTTAATTTGATAGATCATGAAGTCTGACAAGTTTAGATGGTGACATTAATTACACTGAAGTATTCTTACATGTAACTTTTAAAATGCTTTCACCACGATGGAGCAGGCCTTAGAACTGGATTAATGAGGAGATAGGAAAAGTGAGCTCAGCTCAGTGAACTGTTATTCTATTCATGTTTTTTATTTGTGATATTCATCTCTAGTATTTCATATTAGATATGTACACCAAAATGCTGAGTAAAATAGAGTCCGTCGTGTCCAATTTCTTTAGAATAAAGACTGAAACTAAAGGTCCATCCCATAATCCTGTAAAACAAATGATCTGCATAACAGCCACCTAAGCAGGATGAGAAGAAAAGAGTGAGTTCCAGATTGATATACAAATTTCAGAATCATAACTTTCAATCAGGTAGAATCCCACATTAAAATATATTGCACACACAATGCACTCTTGACTTTAAAGATAACTTCATGTAGAATGAGACTTTGTTGGGACTACCGGCTGAATTATTTTGACTTCATTGCCTGGTCAATTCAGTTCAATAACTGGCTTAAGTGATTTTTTTTCCCCTCCTACTAAATTTGCCAGCTAGCTTCATTTAGTGCATAACTGTTAAGGTACCACTGTATCCAAGGGCTGCACTAGGCACCTGGGGGAGTACATGGGAATAGAAGGCATACTCCCAATCTGCATAGAGCTCACAGCTCAAAACAAATTCATAAGGGCTGTCAGGTTTAATCATGCAAATTAAAACCTATCACTTATTTTTGGAATTTTCCATTTAATATTTTTGGGAAACCTGGCAAAGCAAAATCACAGATACGGGGGAACCCATGGTACACTACTGCCACTGCCTTGGTGTCTCATTTAACTTTTCTGAACCTGATTTCTCATTTGTAAAATGCCTTTGTCACCCTCCTCCTAGGGATGCCCTAGAGTAGATGCAAGAGGATGTGAAAGAGCACACAAAGCCTGGTTTTGATCTCAGATCCTGGGTTCTGTGTGTAGTTCTTTTTTTTCTATATCACTTCCCAGATATGGGATGGCTACCCAGGAGATAGATGTGTGTGTTTCCTTGCTGACATCCCTTATAACTGCCAGAGATGTTGCCAGAGGAATATTTTCCAACTCAAACATTCTTTAATTTTATTGGTGTTGCAAAATTTGATTTATATTTAGAATCACGTAATTAACATACCATTTTGATTTGTCCTGGCTTCTCAAAATCATAAACCCCTATTCATCTAAATCAATGAAAGAGAGGAAATGTCAGAGTACTAAAAAAAAAAAAAAAGTCTAATTAGCTTTTGAGTCTTTTAAAACTGGGTATGTAACCTAAATTTTACAATAATTATTAAGCAGTCCACTATTAAACCCAGGCACCATTCAGACAGTAAACATTTCTTTTGCTGAATTTGAAATAGTAAAATTTAATCCAGAAAGTAAACTGGCTAACTGCCCATCCTGCTGAATACCTCTTTTCCAGCTCTGCTGGGACCCAAGGGCATTGAGTTCGCCCATGGGGACATGTTCCCATGGGGGCCAGTGCATTCCATTTGGTTTATGTTCAATATGTGTGTTTCTTCTCTCAGCTCACACTTTAATTTTTATTGGTAAACATCAAAGGAAGTCTCTCCATACCCCTCTCCTCTGAGTTCCTGCTTTGTATCTACCCTCAGTTGGGAACAAAGAGACATATATTATCAAAGGTTTAAGCTGTACAGAGTCACAAAAATTATAAACAGAATTTTCTGTACTGTAATCAGTTTACAACCGTTAACGATAAAATGCCTATGCAACAAAAAATTAAAATAATGATCCTTAGATCAATTTAGAGAGATACCTGAAAACTTTTTGAGATTTGCTGGTAAATATAACCCAGTTAACACACAGACATATTTAATTGGAGTAGAATAAATCTCAATGTGTCTTAAAATGCATATTTAAATACAAAAATAGGATAAATCTTTTTTCTTATACTAGGGATTGAACTCAATGCCTCATGCCTAGGTTAGATCTTAATGTACTTTACAGGCATATTTAAATATAAAAATTAACTATACCAACTATAACTGAATCCATACTGAATAACAAAATGTTGCTTGCATATAGTAAAATGTGGATTATAAGTCATATTTTAATTAAAAGTTTTAATAGTGGTTTATATAGACTATGTAGTAAGTTTGGAAATAAGACTATCATTTTTAATGTGTCAGACCTGGGAAATGAATACAGCACTGTTCTGTGAGTACCATGTATTCTTATAGTTTGGAAAGATTTACTTCATTGTATACACAGTCCTGTAATTAGCTCAATGTCATGCCCTCTTTATATAAAGAGAATTAATATCAACTAATTTAATTTTTGAATCAATACTAAATAGCTATTGGCATGCCAATTAGTTGATTGCTTCTAAAAGTATTAAGCACAGGAATAAACTAACAGTGCTGAGGATATTTCAAACTAAAAATAGTATGCAAACTAAAAATAATTTTGCCATTCTCAGTTCTCTTGATAGTTTCGTGAACAGAAATGAATTTTGATTTCTTTCATATAGACAGCCTTAAAATAGTCTTTTAATGTGGCCTTATAAACAAATTATTAATTTGAACTTTTCTTAGAACAAAATTTAAAAATATCTAGTACAATATTCATTCTTGCCTTTTTCTGAGCTTTGTGATATGTATTCAGCACTAGTTCTTGATAATTTGTTAACAAGGTGTTTTTAACACTTTGGACAGATGCACATACTGTTTTCAATCTTCACGGTTAATTATTCGATTTTGTATTTGATGACAGAACACCCTGACTCCTAATCACTGCTCATTGTTGCCAGTCCATTATATTCTAACTGTTTGAGTGCTCCCATTGACCTTGAACTGACATTATAAGCTGTGTCTAATCTTTTCAGTCTATATTTCTAATGCTTCTTTTCTTTTTTCCTTTTTTTCTGAACCCTGTTTAGCATCACAATGGGTCTGCCTCTGAGCCCAGCAGCGGACTCTGCCCGCTCTGCAAGGCATGCCCTCTCCCTCATTGCCACTGCCAGACCACCCGCCTTCATCACCACCATAGCCAAAGAGGTGAGTCTGCAACTTCTCAGTGTGTGCCGTCTTCATATTGGAAGGAATTACTGATACTGTAAACTGAGAATTTGGACTCACAAATAATCCTCCCAGTTTATTCTAAACCAAGCAAGTTAATAATTTAGTGGTGAAATGAATACATAGATGTCTGTGTGCGCACATTGAATTCTGTCGCTGTACATTCATTACTTGTGCATTCATTTCCATTTCCGTTCTCAAAGCTAATTCACTGGTAAATATTTGACAATAGTTTTCTATCTGAAACATAGCAGGATTATGCAAAATAAAAGCTATTAAATGTGTTCACATTTTCCAAATGCAAGTACTTACTTGTAATCAGAACTAAGCTACTTATTTAGCACTGACTCTCCAACTGTAAACAAAAAATGTAAGTCATAAACTTGCTAATTGTTTTTCCTATTACATGTCACAGATAAAGACTTGAATGCCAATTGATTCCCACATTCTTAGTGTTCTGACTAATTGCCCACATCTAACTGAAAAACTAGTAAGAACAATAAACCAATTATAGGAGCTTCCCTATAGGTCTTAGTAGTGGGAGAAAAAAGGAATGGATGAGAAGCTCTTAAATTTTTTTAAAGGTTTGTTCCATTTCAGCATGAATAATGTGCAGACTCAGTGTCCATAGGGTACGGGCTCTGTCAGTTGTTTTTCCTGTAGCTATGATGAATTTTTAAAATACTAAATAAGTACCTCTGAGTCCACTCTGATACCCTGAGACCTATTGGGCCGATTCTGCCCCAGAGCAATCTTTAATAGGCATGCTGTAAATATCTGTGATGCGAAGGTGGCTAGAAGAGAGGAGAGAAGGGCCTACTAGCATTTCTGTAGGTGATTTTGAGACAGGGGAGCCTTGGAAATTATTATTAATTTTTCCCATTTGTGGAATATACACAGAAGTAGTATTGACTGTCCTGAAGAAGCCTTACGTTAGTCTGACAGGTCCTTCTATTAATGGTGGTTTTGAACTTTATTTGCAGTATTCACTAATGAATATTTTTTAATGAAATGTTAGAATGTCCATACTTTGGATTCATTATACCCCATCTTTTGGTTAGAACATAATTTTTAAATATTTTAATTAAGAGTCTACATTTATTTCCTTTTAAAAATAAGTTTTCCACTTCACTTGTTAATTTCAAATTATTTGAGTAAAATACTAAAGTATTTCTCACTGTTATCACTGCCCTCTACCTGTCCCCATGCCCACTGCCCCATGGCTAGTTCAGGGCCTGCTAACGTTTACTGTCTGCATGGAAAATAAAAAAACCACCAAATTTACTACGGATTCTGCTCATTATTTTTGGAGTTGTGTTTGCTTGGATTTCCCAACTTGATTACAAATCCCTCAGAACAGTGTTTGGGATATAGTAAGTGCTATAAAAGTATTATTTGCCATTATTACTTGAGATCAAGTATACCTACCTGTTATACTTGCTGGACATCTCCTACGTACCATATACCTTAATACCAAATTACCAAATTCATCTTCAGTCTATTTCCTTTTAAAAATGGCATAGTAATATTGTATTAAGTTTTCATATAATACCCAGAAGCTTATTGAATTGTATTAGGCAATAGTCACTGAGTTTTTATTAAACTCAATACTTTTGTGTGACCAAAAGTATTTCCAGGCCCACCCTAAGGAATTTGTTTTGTTGGTTCTTTTGTATCCTCTGTTGTTTAGTAAGTGGAAATAAGCCAGTGACTAAAAGTGAAAAACTGTAAGAAGTGGTGATCATGTCTGTTATAGGTGCATAGACATACGGCTCTTGCAGCCAATACCCAATCACAGCAGAATATACACACGACAACCCTTGCACGAGCTAAAGGGGAAATTCTGAGGGTCATTGAAATTCTTATTGAAAAGATGCCTACAGATGTCGTGGATCTTCTTGTGGAGGTAAGAATATCCTGCTTTAAATGATGTATCAGCCTCCTAAATTAAATATTCCAATGTGTTCATATAAATCAGTGCCTTTATTTTCAACATCTCTAGAAGATAGAGAGGAGGAAATGAAGGTAAGTGAATGAGAAGGAGGGGAAGAAGGGAAGGGAGGAAGAAAAAGAGGGAGGGAAAGAGAGAGAGAATTAAAATGAATTAATTTATGTAACTTATGTGCCATTTCTAGAAGCCTAAATTAAATTTCCTCAAAAATCAAAATGATTGGTAAGTCCATTCACCATTCATATAGAATTACTCTATATTGAAGTATTTTTAAAGGTTCATTATAAATGAAATGAGATGGCTAATGTGCTTGGATAAAAGTTGCCTCTCCTGCACATAAATTGTCTTCAGAGGAAACAAGTCTGTCATTATTTTACTCCACTATCTTTAAATTTTTCTCACAGATAAGACAAAGGATAGCTTGTAGTACACATTTAAAATTGCTTTTGTTTTGTTTTAAAAGTAAATTCTAAAATCAAGCTATGTAGAATTTTCATGGGCAAATGAACCCTAATGTAATTATTTAAGTTTCAGAAAATTAAGCATTTGAAACTAATTTTAGATCTGTGTCTTTTCTGTCAAAGGTTATGGATATCATTATGTACTGCCTTGAAGGATCTTTGGTTAAAAAGAAAGGTCTTCAAGAATGTTTTCCAGCTATCTGCAGGTAAAGACGCCTTCAAGAGCATACAAAATAAATAATTTTCAGTAACAAATAATGTCGAAACATTTTTGTGAGGTTAGCTGGTAGTCTTGCTCAATTAGAAAGCCAATTATTAATTAATATCTGCTTACCTTCTAAAATAATTCAGGAGGCTCATAGTCAATCAAAAACAAATATAATAGAACTAGCTATTTGGAATGGGATTATAAAGACATTTTGTTTACAGCTTAAAAATGAATAAGAGATAACACTCATTGAATATGTTATATTCTTACATCCATTATTGAAATTATGATTTACATTACAACATGGAGTTAGGAAGCTTTTGACTTAGTAATAAGCTGTACTCTCAACAAACAGAAATTTTTATGCTGCTTTTTCACTCACTGTTAGGTTTTATTTTTAACATAGTGGCTAGTATTTACATCATGTGCTATTTAAATATAGATGTTTTCACTATGCAAAAACAGGAAAAGCTAAAACTTTTATAACCAGTATTAAATAAGGTAAATATGACTCTTAAGTATGACATATGCTTGTGCAACATAATTGTTATGAAATGAAAGTTATTTTAGTGTCAAAATATAGTAACATTGAGTTTATTTTTAAAATTTTGTTTCCCAAAATGTTTGAGCTTGAGGCACATTTTTTTAAAAAGAATTTTTACCTCCATGTAGTCAGCAGAAATAGTATTTAAATCTGTCAAAGGTAATTCTTTTGGTAGAAAACGGAATCAGTTACTCATAGTTAGATGACGTATTTCTTTTTACAGTAATTTCAATGATATCTATACTTATTTCTGCTAACTTCTTTGAGTACATTGTAGGGCAAAGCTTTGTTGTAGACAATAAGCTTTCTAAGAGCAGTGACATTTCATTGTACCACACTGTTTTCTGTATTTCCTAGTATTCCAGGAAGTGTTTGCTGAATTGATTGTATTCTGTGAATCTTCTCCTATGTTTGCAATAGACCTTTATATGATATTCTCATCATTTGGCAGTTTCTGACTTAGGCCTCCTAGAAGCTAAAACATAAACACAGATAAAGACTGTAATGTAGCACATACATGCATATTTTCTTAATAATATAGATTAGGCAAATTAGAATACAGTTATATTCTGGTTTATATTCTTCTTGTTAGAAATCATATGTATTAAATCTTTTGTGCAATTAATTGATTTTAAAGATACATATAGCTGTTATTTTTCAAGTCAATTGTTCTCTAAAGAAACGTCTAAGCGAACATGTACATCTATCTGTCACTTAGTGGAGGTGATGGGGAATCAGTTATATTAGGGCTTATTTTACTGCGTGTTAACAAGGTGGTCCTTATAGCACTAGCCAATTCTATGTAAATAAGCTTCCTGGAGTTAATTTGAGTAAACTGCTCAGTGTCACTAGAAGTCCAGTGCACTGTCCATTGAGCCACAAAGCTACTTTGTGTCTAAAGGACCTGTGTTTCTGCTTTGTGGGAAGCCTAACTCCTCCCAAGCAGCACCCTCACTTCCTTAAGTCACCCTTGACTGCTGTGCATCCACTTGCTCCTCTGTTGTATGATCATGGAAGCATAAGAACTATGCTGTGTCTTAACTGATTACTAGATATACATTTTATCCTGATATCACAAAAAGCAATTGTGTTTTATTTAGTAATATCATAGCATTTATTGACACTTGCTATGTGTCACGTACTAGCTAGGCCTTGGGGAAGCAGTGATGAATAAGATGATATCCTTAAGGAGCACAGGCTCTATCTAATAGCTCTTAAACAAACAGACAGATGATTCTGGGGTCTGTGCTGTGTGCTGGAGTATAATACATACTGGGGGTAAGCTGGCAATAAATGGATTGCTTAACTTGGCATATAGGAATCTGAGAAAGTTTCACCAAAGAAAAGGCAGATGAATAATAGTACCTGTGAAAAATGCCCTAATAGACATGGCTGCCAATTGGACAGAGGGATTTGTCCTCTGAGAAAGTTGAGGCAATGGTTGTGGTAGGAGCAGTGGTGGATTCTGGGGAAGCTGCACAAAAAATTGAGAGGGAGTACAAGATAAACAGGTATGTGTCATCAGGAATTGCAGAGACAGCCAGCCCAGCAAAAGTTGGGAGGCAGAGATATAACAGTGAGTTTGGTCATATTCTGTAGTAGGGTGGTTGGAATGTAGGCTAAGGATGGAAATCTAGTATAGTTCCAGAGTATAGGGCTTTGCATTTTATTTGAAGAAATTTGGCTGATGTTTGACAAGCAATGGGAGTCAGGCAAGTTTAAGCAAAAATGTGTAATCCTTTTACCAGAACATAGTTTGATAAGACATATTTCAATGAAACATCAGATTTATAAGTCATTAAATTACATTAGATTTTATTAGATATAAGTCACACAGACCTATTTATTTTAGAGTCAGCCCATAAATAAGAAAGGATGTTGAACACTTATGTTAAATGCTAGCTAAGTGTTCAGATACTTACACTAAATTTAGACAAAAATTATGGAGGCCTTCAGAGAACATTTGAGATTAGACAGGACTCAAAAGTTCTGCAGGTCTACCTACTGGTTGACTTCTACTAGGTTAATAAATAAATAGCAACAGAAGTTAAAATTGCCTAGCACTGGTGGCTCACACCTGAAATCCTAGCTACATGGGAGGCTGAGATTGGACGATGGCAGTTTCAGGCCAGGCTAGGAAAATAGCTCATAAGACCCCTCATCTCCAAAATAACTTGAGTGAAATGAACTGGCGGTGTGGCTCAAGCCATGAGCGTATGCTTTGCAAGTGCAAAGCTTTGAGTTCAAACCATAGTCCCTCCAAAACCAAAGAAGTTAGTATTGCTTTCTTGAATATCTGCCATATCTGTGCCATTGTACTAAGTGCCTTCACAGGACTTACAAGCCCTCTACTTATAAGTGCCTTTCACTAAATATGAAACTCTAGTCCAAGTTGACAGCATTTCTGGTGGGGAGTCATGTAATGTTTATTTTTGAAACCTTGATATAGTTTTGTATTCTTTCTTTCTTCCCCCCCCCACCCTTTTTTTCCTTTTGCCCTTTTGTAAGTACACTAAAGTTTTTAGCTTAGGTTAGTCTCAGTAATGTTCCTAGATGCTGAGATCCATTTGTTATGATTGATAGAACAAAAATGGCATGAAATTTCATTTAGTATTTTTTTAATGAGATGATATTTGTGGAAGCACCCAGTAAAGTGTTTGTGATTTAGATAATCAGAGAGCATTAGTTTCCTGTGAGTCACTCTACCTTAATAATAATACTAAAATTCAAAATGTATATAAAAATCGTTAATATATATTTCAAGTGGATAAAAGTTACAAGATGACATTATCTTCAACTGTCAGAAAGTGTTTTCCCCCTGCTGAAAGTATCATCAACTCAAGATGTCTGTGAACCAAAGAGGTATGGGGATTTCTTCCCACCAACAAGCATGCAGTTCTGCAGAGGACACAAAGCATTTGGTGTATGTATAGCTAAAAAATAATCATTTGTAAGCATTATGTTAGCTGTGATTATTTTCTAAAAGGAAAGACTTCTTTGTAGTAACTGAAAAGCCCTAAATCTTACTGGAGCAGTTTATATAGCTATAGATACTCTTATATAATATATCTAGTAAAAGATATAAAAAAAAATCACATAATATTAATTACTGTATAAACTTTATAGTTACTGGTTTAAATATTTCCTTATAACTCACAGTTTATTCCAGGGATATTATTAATATAGTGACATCCATTAATAGCCAAGGAAAATTTCTTGGATTTCACTGCCCTTGAGAGAATATAGCATGCACACCCTTCAAAACAAAAATATGCAAAATAGTTCTACTCTCAGATTTTTCATCACTAACACAAATAAGTTTATATTATTACATAGGAATTAAACCACATCCTTTTAGAACATAGATATATTAGCAACACAATTGTTACAACACTGCATTTGTTTTATGCTTTCAAACAAGCAGAGTAAGAAGTACACTAAGGCAGTATTTGAGAAATTAATTCCTGTTGATTCTTTGCCATTTCTTTGGCTTTTGCATTGCCTTCCTCAGTCTCCAAGATGATCTTCAAAAGGCATCATCTTCAAGCACTGTACATAATCACTGTCAGATGCAGAGTGACAGAGAGTTCTGGGTAATGAACGCTTAATTGCCTGGAATATAAATAATAGAGCATCCTCAGTTAAAAGTACCCTGGGCACTAACACAGTAGAACTAACTCATTTCAAGGCTTGAAGCTACACATCCCTGAAGTCTCCTTAGAATCCATTGTTAAAGTTTGGTTACTGAGTCACTGAATTACTGAACTCAAATCCCCTTTGAAGTCCCTGACAAGGGAGACCAATCAACACTAAACATTGCATTCTTGACTCAACTTGATTATGTATTCCTCTTTTGTTCCCAAATCAACATTCACTTACTGGTTTATCAAAAATATACTATTTTTGATGCAGAAGCATAAGATATGAAAGTCCAAAGATGTACTTTTGGTGTATTTTGTACAGCTGTTTCTGAACTAAGTGAATATGCACTTGTGTGGCATATATATGTTCTAAAAGGAATGCTTGTTAATCATTTTGCAAAAGTATTCTTAAAAATATCAGAAATACCTTGTAAGGCACTATCAAAGCTTAGCTATAAATAAAAATTGGGCTGGGGTATTGCTTAGTGATACAGTATATCCTTAGCAGGTGAAAATCACTGGCTTTGATCCCCAACAGAGAGAAGAAGAAAATGAAGGGGAAAAAAAACAGAGGAAGGAGAGGGAGAGTGAAAATGAGGGAGGGGGAGGGAGAGAGGGAGGAAGGAAAAGGAAAGGAAGGCTTCTTCAAATATAATTAAATACGAACTTTAAGTTTAAGGCTGTTTTATTATATATTTGAGGATTGGTCATTCCATAGTGTACAACCATAGAAGAATCAATGATTTTTCAAATTAAATTATACATTGTTGGGAAAATATGGTTACACATAGATGTGTCTCTAGGTGTGAATTT